GGACGTCTTGCCAGCCCGGGCGTCCCACGAGCGGAACGAGGGCTATCAGGCCATCCAACGCCATGACCTTCATAGCGGCCTGGAGTGCGTTGGGGCCCATTCTTCTGCTTTCGCCCTGCAGGCGAGGGGGGATTCTGTGGAGGCCGGCGAGACGGCGAGGGGTTGGGGGGCATTTTCTTTGAACTCCACCACGACCGCGCGAGCCGCCGCCAGGGCGGACTCCACCGCGTGCTCGTCCTCCCTCGCCTTGCCCTTTTCTTTCCCTTCCGGGGAGTCCAGGGGGGGCATTGGGGGGGGCCCATCCCACCACGGGGGAATCGTGCGCCGGCCCGAACCTTTACGGCCGCTCCTGGCAAACCCGAAATTGACGACCTCTACGCGTCCAATTCTGAGCGGCGGGGGGGACGGCCGCCGTTTCCCTTGGAAGGCCTGAAGGGCGATCACGACGAGGGGGGCTTTGCCGATGCCGCGGTGTGGACCGCGCGGGATTCGGCCATACGGCAGGTTTACAACTACACGATGGCGGCGGTCTGCGAGAAGCTGATCCGCCGCGTGGTGGAGGAGGAGCTGGGCCGCATCCACGACGTGGCCCAGCGGGCGCTGTCGGAGTGGATCCTGCACCGAACGCTGGACAGCCTCGCCGGGGTCGAGGAGAAGCCAGGCCCCGAGCTACCGGCATACCGGTTCAGGTTTTCTGGGGTCCTAGACCACATTCGCAGCGGGGCGCCGGTCTCGCTCAGCGCGTTGGAGCTCAACAGGGAGGACAAGGACGTTCTCGCCAGGATCAGGGCGCGAAGCCACGACCACGCGATTGCGATTCAGCCGCCAAGTGAGGCGAAGGAGGCGATTGTAGGATTCAGCCCCATGTCCTACTCCCAGCTGGCGACGCTGCAGGCGAGGGTGTGGTTGAACGATCAGGTTATTAACAATTACCTGGCGTTGGTTTCCTGGGATGTGAACCAAAAACAGGGGGTGGAGCAGGTGGCATCGCTCGGGACGCACTTCTTCGTCAAGGTGAGCTCGGAGCTCTCCAGCCCCCCGACCGCGTCCTTGCCCGGGCGGGGCAGTCTTTTGGCAGATGCGGCGTCCGACCCCCCGCTTCCGCCGCTTTCCCCGAACAGCCCAATCCTGCGTTGGCTGCGGCGTCGCCGCCATCTTCTCCTTCCCTACGCGAGCCGCCAGGTGGGGCAGGGAAAGGACGGGTCAGGCCCCTCGGTTGACCCCGGCGAGGCCCAGGCCACGACGACGGTGCATACTCTTCTGATTCCCGTCAATCTCTCCGATCAGCACTGGGTGTTGGTGGTCTTCCGGAAGGATTTGAATACCTGGTACTACTACGACAGCACCTACACCCCGCGGGTCGCCGCGCGGGCGCACCACATCCTGCGCGTCCTCGAGCACGCCTTGTCGGAGTGCCGCCGGGCGCTTTGCCCGGGCTCGGCCGCGGCGGCGGCGGCCGGCGGGCGGGGCGGCGGCCGGCGGGTGATCGCCCAGCCCTACGTCTCGCCCCCCGCAGAGACCGGCGGGGATGGCTCGCGGGCGCCCCCAACCAAGCGACGGCGCTGCCGGCTCGATACGCTCTACCCCTACGGAAGCCTCAAGGCGTTGGCGACGGCGGAGTCCTGGAGCAAACGACGGCGCTGCCAATTCCCGCCGAAGGATCCCCCGATAGCCGCGGGCGACGACGCCTCCGAAGCGCTGGCGTGCGTGGGAGGCGAGGCGGAACAGGAGGAGGCGATGTGGTTTCTTGGCGGGTTTGATCTCATCCCTCAGCAGCTAAATAGTGATGACTGTGGGGTTTTTGTTTGCGCTTCCGCGTGGTGTGGAGCTCAGGGCATAGCGGTAAGCTTCGAGCAGGATGTGGGGTTACTGCGGGATGTAATTGCGTTGGAGTTGTGGTCGATGAAAACGCTTCGTAGGCTGCCCACGGCGGACACGTCTTCTTCAATAGACGTTAATGTGTTCAACTCCACCTTGTAATCTCGGGAGATGTGCATACACATATTCACACTACCCCTTTTTTACACAATTTATTACAATTTACTTAGATATGTGTTATTAATGTTGTTAAAACAAAAAAAAAAAAGGTCAGCGTGCAGATAAAACTGCCACGGTATTTCATTAGTTAATAACCATAGCAACATTTCTGTACGTGTTTTTCTAATATTTAGTTTTTTTTTGATCAATGCGTTAGATATATATATTAACGATATTTATTAAGTTTATGTTCCCTTCTTTATTAACCTTTTTTTTACCTGCCGAATTCCAAACTACTTCAAGAAAAAAAAGGGTTCCCTTTGGTTTTTAATATCTAGCCTAATAGTGGTTTCCATCCCAAAGAGTGTATTTGTAAAAGGCAAACCCTTCTATCATTGCGTGACTGTGCGAAAAAGTTGATTGCTGCTGCCCCCCCTCCCCCCCCCCCTCCCTTCAATTCCCGTGGGGCAACCCTTTTGTGTTTGCCCATCCGGGTTCTTCTCTCCGCTTGACATCCGTGTGCTTCCCTTTGCTTCTTGTTCTCTTTGTGGTGCCTGCGTTTCTGGGCGGAAGGGTGTGCGACCTTTTTTGGTGGATTTCGGGAGGAGGGATTACCCCCGTGACGGTGGATTCTTCGCGCGCGGCGCCGTCCTGAAGCCACAACGGGAAGCGCGAGCTCACAGAACGCCGCGCCTGCGAGGCGGGCCGATTGCTTGATGCCGCTCGTCCACGACACCCCGCTGAGCGCGGAGGCCCGCTGGGGCTACGAGCTCGAGGCCGCGCTGGCGCTGGCGTGGGCCGGGGTCGGCCACGGC